AAAAATCTAAGCTCTCATATACTGCTCAAGGATACCCAATTTCGCCTAATCCCATAAAATGAAACTAACACCCTTGCTTTTCTTTTCAAGTTCAAGAGGGTAGATGGGAGAAAATGACGCAATGGCTGGAGCGCCTCTCACCACTCGCGCTACCGCTCTGAAATGGACTTCTGTAGATGTGAGCTGCGCTGTTTGACGACGGGTGGGGTGGGGGAGGGGGCATTTTGCACTTTAACGACTTCCCATCGACGTGTCGACCCATCTAGACAGCCTCTTCTCGAGTTGACAGGTTTTACCATGATGGCTTGACGAGCTTGCTCCAGCTTCACAAGAGTTCACAGGTTTCACCAGAGTGAGACTTGTAAACCAGAACTAGTGAAGCAACGAAAGTGCAAAATGCCCTCACCCCCGTCGGCAAACTGCGCCGAAGTGAGCATATCTACTGACCCTCCGTCTTGAAGATTGAAGGTAGTTTGCAAAGCAACCCGGGTGTGGGCTGTAAGGCAGAGAAACGAGGCAGATGAAAATTTGTCTACCAATAAACAGAAAAAGGAGAAAAAATGAAAAGAAAATTGTAAAACAAGGCCCAGACTCCTTCCCGGAAGACGCCATGCTGGGAAAGTTTCTGCTTATTGATGTTACTTGAAACTAAATAGATCAAACTCAAACTAGACCGCCTCCGTGAATTCTGGTCCCTGCCATGTGTAAGTGAATCGGTACCACTTTTCTGCTCAAAAGCGCGGGGACGACGGGTTCAAGGGTAGCGAGATAAAGGTCCATCTCGCGTACCTGCGCGCGCTGCTGCACGGCTAGCCCACAATACACGCTAACCAATAGGCTATACGTTATACGTGTTCGTACATGTATGTGCGCCTCCCACCATCTGGTGTTCTCTACGGCTGAGGGCATGTTTCGCTGGGGTCCCCCCCCCTCGGTTTTTTATCCCCCGAAACCCCCCCGGCCAAAGGTGAAAGATTCAGCTTGAGAATGGCGTGGGCGGAGTCGGGAGACGGCATTCGGGTACCACTACCCTCCAGCCTCCATCATTTGCTTTTTTGAATGGATAAGGTGGCACGCAACCAATCCTTCTTTTCGGGTAGACGAAGACCAAGAGGTGAGTGTGCAGTTTTGTCCTCGCACGGTATACGCCTGTTTTTATCCTATGTGGGCGTCTCTTAGAAAAGCAAGAAATTCCTGCTATCAGCTAGAATCCAAGCCACGTTGCGCCCCATGGCAGTCTCAGTTCAAAGGCTTGACGCCTTAGGTAAAGCTTCTAAAGCGAGTTGAGGGCCCTGAATCCTTGCTCCTTAACGCTGTTTCGCGAAACAGGCCCAGATTCACAGCTGCCGCACGACGAGCTCAAAAAGGGAACTCATGTCCAGCTCATGATAAAGTCTCGTCAGAGACACAGTCCGCGCAGATCGTATGGGCGGAGTCAGCCTTACTGTTGCACCCACCTCGACGGTACGCTGTGGCCCTCCTTCTAGTGCGGTGGAGGAGATAGGGGCCTATGATGAAGACACAGCGGTGGACGTACTGGGCCTTTGAAGGATGCTGATGTGCGGGACGAGCAAAATTAGGGAAGAAACCAGCTTGCGCAAAAAATTGTCATTCAAGTAGCGCTCGAATGCTACTGCGGATCTGAAAGAGGATAGAATGCCTAGCGCATCCTACAGTATGCCACACACTGCACATTTTTCATTTGAGTCCTTGCCTGCAATTTACGAGAGGGAAGGCAGGAACACCCCCACCCCGAGAAGAGGGACAAATTAATAAATGGAATCTAGAAATAGAAGTGAAAATACTTTTCAAATGAAATGAATAACTCTAAGAGAATGAGCAAAGGCAGAAACGTACGCGGAAACGATCCTGCCATAGTGTCCTTACGTGGTTTGATATCGGCCAGAGGAAAAACAACAAGCTCATCTTCAGCACTAATTCGAATTCTGAACAGAAGGATCGATAATCGATTGATGTCGATGGAAAAACAACTTTAACAACATACAAGAGTTAAAACAGTGCCGATCTCGACTTCATAATAATTAATTGATTGAACTCTGATTTTGCTATTAAATTAAACAGTTGGCAGAAACTGTTTGTGGAGTAAAACGGCGTAATAAAAAAGTATCATTTGAGAAAAATATATAGTAGAGGCCAAGAAAACCCCTCAAAATTTACGCCCAATCAATTTCTATTAAGAACAGAACTGTCCCAACGTTCTAGAGAGATTTATGGGAGATAGAGGTCGCCGTGACACTTTCACTTTTACTCTCACAAAAATCAAATCGAAAATCAATAGGGACTGCTAAAACACGGGCATCCTCTCCGTTTTTCAATGGGAATAATGCCTTTGATAAAAAAATAACGGTTCAGAAGAACATCGACCGAAAATAGTCTGAGCCGCCTGAGCGAAAAAGTTTCGTGAAGATGGTGCCCTGGGAAAGAGCACCATTTTCAGTACAGTTTGCCCAATATTTCATAGTACGGTTCTAAGCAGTTTGGTATCCATCATAACACAAGTATAACATTTTTCGGGGGAACGGCCAGCTGCACTTTCGAATTCTTCCAAATTCAAGCCTTCTCCTTTACGCTTCTGAATACTGTATTTGTCCATTACCCTATGGAACGCTAATACAGGTAATGACGTTGGTGCCAATCGTTTTACTCATTCCCAGGGCACGTCCTGCCGTAGCTTGAGCATTTAGCAAAACGCGACCTGCCCCGAAATCTCCCCCAATGGTACGAGCCTATGTTACATAACATATTCTTTGAATGATCCCAACTTTCCACCGCTTTTTCGGGATTTTCCCCTAAAGCCTTCAGTCCTCCCCCTCCCAAAAAAACTGCCGTTGAGAAGGGGAAAGGGATGTATGTATGGCAGTTAAAACAGGAAAAGCCGCAAGAAGTCAACAAGTGGAAATATTTCTTTCAAAATCGAGTA